CCCCCCCCCCCCCCCCCCACACACACCACAGGAACCGCTATGTGGCTGGGACACAGAGGCGCGAGCACGCAAGCGGAAAGCCGCTCGCTAGCTGTCATGGTGACTGACGCCACGCCTCCGAGGCTGAGGGAGTCTGCGCGGCGGGCGAAGAGGCCGAGCTGCTCATGCGCAGCACTTACCTTAGCTTCTTAGGCAGGCGGGAAGAGGAAGCAGAAGACTGACTGGACATTGACAGACGCCAGTCACCGGAAGTCCCGCCTGTCTTGCCGAGCCTGTTCCCGGAAGTGCATCTACTTGTCTCCGGCGAAATGGCTTCAAGGTTACTTCGCGGAGTGGGCGCTCTGGCGGCTCAGGCCCTGAGAGCCCGCGGGCCCCATGGCGCGGTTGCGACGCGCTCCATGGCTTCTAGAGGTACGTGGGGGAGCTGGGCGCGCCAGGTCGGTGGCCTCGGGGGTGGTTGGTGACGGCGCGGTCGAGCAGGGTGGGCCATTGAGTTCGTCCTGGCCCCGTGGACCACCTTGCGTTCCGGGAGCCTGCACTCGGCGCGGTCGGCCGCCCACTCGATTGACCGCTTCTAAGCTTCTAAAGTGCCCTGACTTGAAGGTCCCGGGTGACCTTGGGAGACAGGGATGAGAAAGGACTGGACCGACATCCAGATTCCTTGCCCACCTCCAGCCGGTACGCTCTCATTGATTTGGTTTTAGAAACAAGCTTTGGCGGTTGGTGGGGAAAACGTCCCATAAGGCGTTGGGAGTCATGACTCAGTGAGCTGAGGGGGCTATGGAAATTGGTAACTTGGGAGCCCACCAAAGAAGCTTACAATGTCACCTCCCCCGTGTCGGTCATTTTCGCGTGTATTCATCATAGTCCTATCATGAATTATTGACATAATCCATTTTTCTTCTTGTAGGTGGTGTTCCTACTGATGAGGAGCAGGCTACAGGACTGGAGAGGGAGATCATGATAGCCGCACAGAAGGGACTGGTGAGGAAAAATTCTCGGTGTCCTCTGGAGCCCTTGGACTTGGGCGGGATCACAGGAGTCTGCTGTCAGCCAGCATTTGGTCCCGGAAACTCGACTTGTAGGAACAGCCCCTTTGCAGTGTAGTGGCCGGGGATGTCTGTGATGTATGTCATAATTAGTCTGTCCTTGTCTTTTTCAGGATCCATACAATTTGCTACCTCCGAAGGCAGCTTCGGGCACCAAGGAAGATCCTAATTTAGTCCCGTCCATCACCAACAAGCGGATAGTGGGCTGCATCTGTAAGTACCTTGCCTTTGGTTTTTGGCCTGTTTGTTTATGGCCTGCTACACAGAATGCCCGTAAATCGCTTCAGATACATGCATGTGACTGACTGTATGTGCACAGAAATGCTCATGAACACTGTTGTAAAGGTTCTCACTGTCCTGATCCTCAGTGAGTGTGAGAGGCCACCGGAGTCAGAAGCCCCTGGGGCTGTAGTTAAACCCACCGACGTGGATGCTGGGAATTGAACTCAGGTTCTCTGGAAGAGCAATCCATGCTCTTAATTGTTTAACCATCTTTCCAACCCAGATTATTTATTTATACTATAGATATACATATATATATTATAAATCTTAAATATAAATATATAATATATATAAAACAAGTTGTGTGTCAGGCACTAAGGATTCAGATCAGTGCTGCTCCTGCTGCTTTGGGATTCGATGACGAGAATGGAATTGTGAGAACCCGCAGTGACCCTGATACAAGGTTATTTCACTCATAGGTAAACTGTCCACTGTTTCATTTGAAAGAGCAGAGCTTGCAGTGATCTCTCAGAGTCAACTGCAGTTTTGTCTCTGAAGTGTCTGTAGGGAAGAGGCGCTGGAGCTGGATGGCTGTCAACCACTCTTTCCTTTCAGGTGAAGAGGACAACTGTACTGTCATCTGGTTTTGGTTGCACAAAGGTGAGACTCAGCGGTGCCCAAGCTGTGGAACCCATTATAAGCTGGTGCCCCACCAACTGGCCCACTGAGCCCTGCGTTAACTTTTCAGAATGTGATGGAAAACTTCCCTCCAATAAACTAGCCATTGTATTGGCTCCTCCCATAGGTGGCTAGTCTTTCTGTAGTTTTTGGTTTTTTTTTTGAGACAGGGTTTCTCTGTGTAGTCTTTGCTGTCCTGGGACTCTAGACCAGGCCTGCCCTGAACTCACAGAGACCTGCCTGCCTCTGCCTCCTGAGTGCTGGGATAAAGTTGTGCATCACCACCACCACTACTGCCCAGCTTCCACAGATAGTTTTATATTGTGATCAGCTGTCTTTTAATACTGGCTCGACAGCTACTTAGAATGTAAAACCAGTATGGAGTTGTTTTATTTATTTTATTTATTTGTTTATTTTGGTTTTTCGAGACAAGGTTTCTCTATGTGGCTTTGGTGCCTGTCCTGGAACTAGTTCTTGTAGACCAGGATGACCTTGAACTCATGGAGATCTGCCTGTTTCTGCTTCCCTAGTGCTGGAATTAAAGGTGTGCGCCACCAGAGCCTACTTGAGTTGTTAGATTTTTATTTTAAAAAATTTTTAAATTTTAAGTTTTATATGTAAAGTTAGAGGAGGAAAAATCAAGGGAGATTTTGAAGGGTGAGCAATGGCAGTATTTGAACCTTCCTTGGGTCTTGATGTTTTTGTTTTTACAGTGCTAATGACTGAATAACTGAGCCACCTTCCAATCCTGAACCTCGATTTAGGGGAAAGAAATTGGGGACTGTCACTGACTTCTGTACCTACCTGTGGTTCCCAAGTCTGCCTACCAAGTTTAAAGGAGAAGGGGGGGGGGGATGCACTGAGCTGGCCACAGCCGTGCCATTTATAGTCCCAATTACTAGAGTCAGTGTGGGGATCACCTGAGCCTGGGCCACATAGACAGACCTTCACCCAAAATAATATTTTAAACTCAGCATTGACATTAGGTCATCACTAAATTTTCAAGTGTGAGGAGTTTTTCTTCTCCAGAAGGACCTATGGGAAAAAGAATTGGGAAGGAGAGCAATAACTCACCTCAGTCACCATGTTTATGATGTGTTGATAAAATTCTCAAAATGAATTTCTGTAAAATGGAAATATCTCTTCATTTTATGTTGAAATTTGCCAGACATGGCTTTCATTGCTATCTCCTTAACTGGTTCAGCATACATAATTGTGGGTTTGAAGTCAGGGATGGAGAGCCTAGGAGAAAGGCCCTTTCCCGATCTTGCTGACCTGTTTGAAAGGTGTAGTCTAGGCTACTGCTCTAGATGTAGATGTGAGTGATCTAGATGTCTCTGCTTCCGGGTGCTCGGGCATTGATTGGCCACTGAGGCCTTTCCTGTGGGAAGGGGATCCCACATGCTACTAAGTCTTACTCCGACAATTCCACCTTAAATTCTATTACCACTGTTGGACCCTGAAAACTTGAGGTGCTGCTGGGAAGCTCTCCTTGTACACACTTTTCTTTCCATTCCATCAAACTGCATAGAATGAGCTAGACCAGAAGTCAGCCTGTGCTCTCCTGGCTTCTCATTTCCAAATCCTCCTTGCTGTTTTTCTTTGAAGGATTGTAACCAGTACAGAAAGAAAAGTCTCCAGGACATTTACAGGCTGTGGTGGGCAGAACAATGATCCTCTCAAGATGTCCACATCTTAAGCCCCAAAACCTGAATGTACATTAAGTCACAGAGCAAGCAGAAATTGAGGTTGTAGGTGGAATTGAGTTGACCCTAGAACTAGGGACAACTGACTGTCCATCTTTCTGGTTCAGCAGGTAATGTATACCAGCTGCCCAGGACCTGAGTTCAATCCCTGGGACCCACATGGTGGAAGGAGGGAACCAGCTTCATTAGTTTTTCTCTGTCCTCCACACATGTGCTGTGGCATACATGCACACTAAAATAAATATCTTAAAAATTAGAGAGACTTTTGGATTATCCAGGTGGAAGGGAATGGGAGACCTAATGATGCTGATTCAACACAGGAAAGAGGTCTTGACCCAGGAACTGCAAGCAGTCTCTGAAAGGAAGGAAGGCAAGAGAGATTATTTAGTCTCCAGATATGAAGGCCTGTGGGTACTTTGATTTTAGCCCAGTGAGACCCATGTTGAGCCGATATGTAAGATAATAGATTTACATTCTAAGTCACTACATTTGGGATTAACTTTTTATAGCAGCAATAAGAAACTAAAACAGACTTACTAAATTCCTGAGTCTATAGGTCTTAGCTGAACTTTGGAATCACCTGAAGGTCTTCAAATCTTAGGGCCCGGGCCATACTAGACCACTGCAGCATACTCCGTGGGGTGGTCCTGGGGGAGCAGAGTTCCCCAGGGGCTTCTAGGCTGCAGCTACAGCTGAGAACTACACTAGGCTAGTCACGTGGGCTTGAGGAGCTCCTGTACCTCCTTGAACTATTTGGGATAAGAAGGAACTGTGGTGTTCTGACCAAGAGGGCTAAATTTCAGGTTCTGCATCAAAGAGGGTTTGTCTATTGTCAACAAGGAAACATAGACTTCATTACATTTTCTGCGGGTTCAGGAATAAACATTTCCAAAACCCCTTGGAAATTGCCAATCTGGTGCTCTGCCATACAGGTGTAGTATGTTTTTTTTTTTGTTTTGTTTTGAGACAGGGTCTCATCATATAACTGATGGTCTAGAACTCCCTGTGTAGACCAGGTTGGCTCAAACTCAGAGATCCACCTGCCTCTCCTGAGTGCTAGGATTAAAGCCATGTTGCCACCAAACCTGGTGTGTATTTTTGTTTTTGTTGTAATATTCTGTGTGCATGCATGCATGTGCAGTGTTTGTGGGCTCATGAGCCACCGTATACACATGGTAGTCAGAAGGTAACTTTGTGAAGTTGTTTCTGGCCTTAAACCTTTATATGAATTTGAAAGATTAGTTCAGAACATCAAGCTTGTGTGGTGTCTTTATCCACTGAGCCACTCTTTTGTTCCATCTTACAGACTTTACTAAATCCCTTCAATATGACTATCAAAAATCAGGAAGGTAGTTTATATATTTCAATCACCTAATCCTTAGGAAGTTTTCCTAAATGTTCATTAGACTTGTGTATGTGTGTGAGAGAGAGCTGTGTAGCCCAGGCTGGCCTCAAACTCAAAACTGTGTGTCAGCCTCCTCCTGGTTGCTGGAATTAACAGGTCTGTGTCACAGTACTTTCCAGTGCAGTTAGCCAGGAAGCTTCCTGGTCAGTTACAGTTTGATTTTTACATGTCCTATGACCAATGTGTGAGTATCCTCAGCAATAAGATCTAACCATCAAGTACCGGGGACAGCCAAAAGTAAGCAATAACCTATATTGTCATTGTTTTGGGACAACACAGACACCTCAAGGGGAGGTATCCTACACATGAGCTCAGGCCTTCAAGTGCACAGCAAGTACTTTATCAACTGCGCCTTCTCCCAGCCCTTAGTCACAGATCACTAAGGACTCAAATATTTTATTGGATGTTTTATAATACATTAAAGATTGGAGCATTGGAGGCTGCTGCAATTTGGCCCACATGTTGCTTAGATAAGTCACTTGAGTTCTTACTTTCCAGTGCCACAACATAGGTATATCTTGAGCTTCCCTTTAGGGAGCTGAAGGACAGACCTGGATGCTATGCTCATTGTTTCTGGGTGCTGCTAATTCCAAACCCTCCAAGCAGAGGTAGGAAACCATGGCTTGCTTGTACACAGATGAGTGTATCAGCATTAGTAGAATACAATCAGGAGTTCATACCTTTAACTCAGTATGACACAAGCTTAGTCTAGCTGCTTCCTCCCTTGCTGTAGCTCTTTTCCATTACAGACCCTCCCTGAGGGGTATAGGGGCTATGGAGGCCTTTGTTTTAAAAAAAATTACTTAGACGTGTATAAGGGGTGGTTCCTGGGGAGAGAACAGGAGCAGAGCTAGCAGTCAAAATGGGACACAGGTAGGAACGGAACAGACCTCAAGTGTTTTCTCCCGGCATCACACCAGCTGCTGTTTTTCCAGGAAGTGGAATTCTACATTAACTGGAATTCCACTGAACGGAGAGGTGCTGTTTCTTCCTCCCCCATGGCTGTATTTACTCGTATCAGTAAGGACTCATGAATATTTTATTGTATGGCTTATAACTCGTTACAGATTTGGGGTGTTACCCGCACAGTAGATTATGAGAGCAAACACACTGGGTGGGCAGAATGGAGCAGGGTCATGAGCTAGGCTGGGGAATCCCTAATGGGAAAGGACGGGTAGCAAAGGGACTGCAGGAGACACAGACTTGACTGACAAGGTGGGGTGCATGTGAAAGGGAGGAACTCAGCGTTAAGATTCCAGACACAGGCGGCTGGGAGCCAGTGCCGCCAGCAGAACCCTGCACAAGGGCCAGCTTGCAGGGTCCCTTAGCAAAGGTTTCTGTGTAAACTTTGACGCTATGCTTGACCACGTGACCATACAGAATCCCCTGCACACATACCCGATGTATGTGGTTTATAGCTTTCAGCACTCTGCTCTGGTCACGATCCTTCCATAGTGAAAACTGTCACCTAGCACACAGCCAAACCACCTTCTCCAGACCCTCGACATGCTAGCTAGCCTAACTGACCTCTTTGGTTTATGTCACTGTGCCACAGACCAATTTACCTTCCCCTGCCAACTGTCAAAGGCCTCTCCCTAACCACCGACTGACCCAGGCTCTTACAAGCCAGCACGTCCCACCTGTTGGCTCAACCCCAGCACTGTCAGCCCAACACTGTCCCATAGTGGCTGGTGTCTTTCTCCTCTGAGTTGAGCCCTTTTGTTCTCCATCAGCTCAGAGCCATGTCGTGCAATAGGTACTAAAAGCAGACTTCTCTACTGGTGGAGCTCTCACTGCCTGCAGGACTTCCTAGTTGTTCTGCTTCCTCCTGTGAACTCCAGTCCACTCCTAGGCTGCCCTTCTCATCCTGCCCGAGGCTGGTAAGTCTGCATCACTGCCAGCACCTGTGTGCCTCTGCAGGCCTGTGTTAGATGTAGGGCACACATGGCAGCCCTGTCTAGGAACATGCAGGGAAGGCAGCCTGGCTCTGCTTCCCCTAGCAGGTCACGGCAAGTGGGTAATGAGGCTGGCCTTGCTTGTCCCGTTGCCCTGCCAACCACTGAAGGCTTAGGGCTCCTGAACTATGCCAGTGTCATGCTGAGTTCCCTCTGGGATGAGTTGAGCAAATGAGAGCACAGAAAGCCACAAGAATCAGAGCCACACATTGGGGCTTTAGCCATAATTATTACTATAATGATTTATAAAAAGAATTATTTTTCAGGCAACTGTGTTAAATTATTGTTCAGCTCTGGAGAGGGAGGTGGGGCCCTGGCCTTTCTTGAGGGAGGTGAGGACACGCCTACCCTTTGGGTCTGACTCCTGATTAAGTGGCTTTCCCTCAGCAAATCAAGACCACAATCCCTTACTGTCCAGGGTGCCGAGGGAAAGGGGGGAAGGGCAGCAAATCAATGCAGTGCTTTGAAAGGGGGAGGGGCAGACCACAAGCTGTGGCT